ATGACCTGCTTTGTTTTATTTTCAAATTACATCTTTTTGGCACAAAAGCTAAGTTAAGTTTGGTTCAAAATATTTTAAATAAACATTATAATTTCTGATTTTCTTAAAATAAGTTTTGAAAAAATGATAATTGATATTTAAAAAAAATTCAAAGTCAGATTTCCAGTTTTTTTTAAAATGGAAAAAAATGGTCAATTTTGCTGACTCAAAAAAAACTAGATTTTTAACGAAAATTTCGGACGTGCTAGGAACGATTAAAAAATGGAAAAAAATACCCCCAAAATACTTTGACCTTTCCTCTTAATAATAACAAACATTTAGACGATAAAATTTTGTTTTTTACTGCCAAGTTTGGCGTCTTTTTCATCATGCTATGCTCTTTTTTTAGCGATCTCGTGGAGGTACCTACATTAACCCTATTAAAAATGGCTTATGGTGAATGTGTCATGAAGAAATTGAGTTTTTGATTGACACATAAGTCAGTAGATGTTTTTGTAAATGTGGATGTGTTAACAATATGTTGATCAACATGTTTATTTGGAAATGTTAATAGGTTATAAAAATCTGTTTAAAGGGAAAGACCCAAACTCAAGACAAGTAGATTCTCCACTATAACAATTCTTTTCTGCATGATATATTAGGAGATTGTAATCTCCTGGCCAAGAAATCCATTGCAAAAATGGGCTATTCACCTTATTCACAAAACTTAGCAGACTGTGATTTTTGGTTATTTCCAAAATTGAAAAAATTCCCTAAAAAAAAAAAATAAATATTAATTGACATTCAACAATGTGTAACTACATTCTTTTCTTCAAGCTTTTATTTCACTGAAAGATATACTAGAAAACAAGTTCCAAAAATGTTTCCAGCATTAGCAACATTGCATGATGAAATGCATAGCTTCACAAGGGGGAATACTCTTAAGGTGGCAGCAGACAATAGCGGCCAAATAAGCAAACTTTGGTTTCACAGAGACATTCTGGGAATTAAATTGATCAGCTCATGCATGTGTGTGCGTGCATGTATGCATTGAGGTCAACTGAGTGGGAACAAGCTCTTTCTTCCTTGAACGCAATCTTCAGGCCATCATACATGGTGCTAACCTCAGTGTCCACTTTTATATTTAAATACATTCTATCCCAATCAACATAGCAGCCCTTAAAAATGTGTGTGTGTGTGTATATATATATATATAAAATGCCTAAAAAATTGTTTTTTTTTTTAAAAAGAAATATCTAAAATGTAAAATGTATTCTAAAAATGAAAATTCTTTCTTAAAGCTTTTGTTTTAGTTTTAATTCCAAACTGACAGATTAAATATTTCCAATAAGCAAAATACTTTACTGTATTTCAAACTGAATTTAGATTGGAATGATTTTTTGATTATCAGTAAATTTTAAATTACATTAAATTAAATTTTACAGCTCTTATTTTCTGATAAGGTCATGTATGGAAGTCAGTTTTTACAAAAATCAAGTTTATACACACAAAATAAATTCAAAATTCTTTTTAAAATTTTCCATTTATGATTAGTAAATACAATTTTAATTTAATAACAATATCACTTAATACAGAATGTTATGCTTCATGTAAAAATTAATTATTTTCTGTCTGAATTTCCGGGATGAAGATTTATGCTATTTAAATTCAGACTATTGCCTGCATCTTTGTTGTTATCACGTTTCAGCCATTGTGCACTCCAATCCCTCATCAGGTGGATATTGATTTGGGTAACCTACAGAGAACTGAACATTTAATCTACAGGGGTAGAATGTTCTCTTTCAACTGCCAATGTCTAGGGATATCTTTACCTAGTTCTTATTTTTAGTATTGCTCAGTTATTGCTTGCTGTTTCCACTGTTTCTGGAATTCCTTCTGGAATTTTGCTATGAAAGCAAAAATTCAAAGTTACTGTTTGAATCTTTGTGCTAATATTTTCTTACTAACACAATTCTATCACAAATAATATCCTGAATTCATTTTTGTGTGTAAAAAAAAAAAAAAAAAAAAAAAGACATCAAAATTTTTTTTTGTTTCAGAGGGGCAAGAAAAATAAAAAAATAAAGAGATACTTTTAAAATGCACAAAGGCAAGAGAATTTTATAATCTAACAAGAATATTAGTTTTGATTATTTTGAGCCTTTGTATGTACTTAAACCATCCAGAAATCAAGCAGACAAAATGTTAGATTTAATAGGTGTTTACTATGAAAAACTTCTAGTTCATTAAAAAAAAAAAAAAAAAAAAAAAAGGTGGAATATCTTACATTTTTAGTAATTCAAACAGTTTCTGCAGTCACATTTAAAATATGTCTCTATAACATCAGTAAAATAGTTAATACATTTCAGCAAAAATTTTTAATGAATCTCAATAATGGAAACCAAGTGAATTTGTTGCCTTAGAGTACGACATTAGAGTTTGCAAAACTATACACCATTTGACAAAAAATCTATTCAAAAACAAAATTTAGAATAATTAATTTTCAGGAAAGTTATATTTCTACCAAATTTAATTGGTACATTAATAAATATGAATCTGAACTCAAAGTCCTTTTATATTGTAGAGAGATAAATCTGAAGATTTTAAATAAATTTAAATTTGAGCATGGATTAATGTTCCAAATCTGAAAATTTAAAACCACAATATAAAATGTTTTTAAGTTTTGTTAAAATATACTGTCGCCTGATGACATGCAAAAAAAAAAAAAAATTCACACACATATACCAACCTTACTTTTTATTTTAAGCAAAACTTTTAAAAAGTATTTAACCAATTTTAAGTCTTTTTTCATATTTATACTCTTCCAAAGCACATGAAATGTTATTTTTTTTTTAATAATAGTATTTTAATAATCTTCAAATGTAAGAATTATCCATGAATTGTTCTATTTTTAGAATTTTTCTAACTTATTTTTTTTTTGCTGTTTACATATATACAAGCAATTTTCTTACAAAACACATTATGTAACTGACAAAAAATAATCATTAATGAGGAATGTTCTTCTTTGATGAAAGTTACTTTCATGATAGATCAAATAAAATAGAAAAAATCCATTTTTGTTACATAAATATATACAAACATTTAAGCACATTTTTAACCTCAAGACCATCTCAAGGAATCAAGCAGGTATCTTTTTTATTTTTTAAAAACATTTGGAGTAAATAATATTTTGTCAACATTCATTAAAGTAACTGTTAAATTAACTGATCTTCTGATTTTTTTTCTTTGGCCAGCTACTTTTTTTGCTGATTTTGTTGAGATGTCATCATTATGGTTTAATATTCATATTAATTTAGGATTTTTTTTTTAAAAAAAAAAAAAAAAAAAACTGAATTAAAAATAGTTTAGAATTATTTTTTAGGTATTTTTTTTTTTTTTTAAATGATTAACTTTATTTCTTGCAATTAAATCTGTAAATAATATATTTAAAATTATTGAAAACTTTAAATTTTAAAAAAATGTGGTTATATCTACCAAATGGTGTACTGGGTGATGTTATTGGAGCCTAGCATGTGCATCAATTTTTTCAATCTCTATTTTCCAAAGTCATTTTCTTACGTCATTCATAACCTCCACTCCCCCCCCCACACACAATTAGCAATATCAAACTGCATTCTTTCCATAACCTACAGTGTTTTCATTAGATACTTAAAAATGATTTGGTAATCAATTCTGATCAGGAGATCAGGGTATATGCATATAAATAACTGTATAAAAGCATGACTCAACTGATCAAGCTGGCTCATTCTGTGAAGGAGTACAAATTTCCTTTCTTTAAAAGTCCACAACACGACCTTTCTGAACATGGATGTATACTCATCTTTCTTCTATTATTCCATCACTGAAATGTTCCCAGTTCCTAAATTCATTTAAAGATTTAGTTAAAAAAGTTAATGTACAACATTCTGCACATCAACTGTATCATTATCACAATGAACACAAAGTGTACAAAGAAGCTGCATCTAATAAATGTAATTTTAATTTCCCTTGCAAAAAATGTGCAAGTTTTTTTGTATCAAATATAACTGTGCCTTTCCTACTCATTTACTAGATATACATGTTGACCAGAGATATATTTCTATCAATCTTGTTTATCTCAATGTGCATTTGTCAACCTTGATATAGATAGAGAGGCATTTATAAACGAACAAATCATCTTGGCAAAATAACTTACTGGTAATTTATGCAACTATTCAAAGTTTCTGTATAATTAATGATCTTAAATAAACTGAAAATTTGATGTAATAATGAATTATTACATATGATTTGTTGATAACTGAATTTTTTTATTTCTTCAAATAAAAATGTTCACATGAATAAAATCTTTCATCTTAAACCAGTCTAAATTAATGTTCAAAATACAAATTCTTTAAAATAACAATAACTGAATATAAATTAAAAATTATATTTCAATGAAAATGTATTAAATAGATTAGAAATAAAAGCTTTAAATTAGAAATGTCAAAATAATTAAATTTATGGCCAAATGAATAAACTTATTCAATAACTAAGATATGAATAAATGAAATTCTAAGAAAACATGATTGCCACATGATATTTGGGAGAAAATGTTTTGTATTTACTATTTACCAAAAACTGAAAACGAATATATATATATATATATATATATATATATATATATATATATATATATATATATATATATATATATATACACACACACACACAATCATTGAGTTTTAAATAACAACATTGACATGCAGAACATCTTTTGGTATTGCTTCAGCTATAAAGGATTTTTTTTTACCAGCTGTACAAAAAGATAAGCTAACACAATCAATAGAGATAACAACAGCAAGGGATAGTTTGAAGTAGAAATATACAATCATGAGGAAACCAGTCTATGTTTTGTCAGTATTTATTACCTAGCAAACTATCATACACTTATAACAAAGATTGGATTCAAATATACAAATATAGGTGTTTGTAGGTTTCAAACTAAAAGATGTTTGAGTGCTAGTGTTATTTCTATTGCTCACCTATGAGTGTTTGTCTGAGGACGTGCACATTCTCCAATATCTTGTCACAATGTTCCTGGGCTACACCCATCCCTTGCAGCTGGTGGAGTTGGAGCTGGCATACCTGAAAGGGACAGAGAAACGTCAGGGCAGTCTGCCACAGGGATGTCATACAGCCAACAAGCAAATAGAGGTGGGGGGGGGGCAACAGAAAAGTTAAATTATACAAGCTGAAGGAATGTTTTTTTGTTTTGTTTTTTTTATACAAGGCTAAAAAAAACTGTAATTAGTTTCTAAATTTACACATAACACGAGGGCTGGAAGAAACAATTGCATTTGAAATTGATATTACAAGTAAAAAATAAAGTAATGGATGTATCTCTAACTGGGAAAAATTGAAAATGCATAAGTCATAGAAAAACAAAACACAATATAAGAAAATAAAAAATAAAACAAAAAGTAAAACAGGTAAAAATCACTAGACACAAAATAACCTGTTTTTTTTCCAAATCGAAGGACATTAAATAGAACATAATTTTTAGAATGTTTTTGCTTTTCTCTATCAAAAGTGAATTTTAATCTTGTTTCAGATGGATATTTTATGTGTGAACCGAAAGAAATTGAATTTTACATTAAGATGAAAAATACATGTAAAAATAAGAACATTGTTTAAAATCCTCCGTCAAATTTTTAATGCATAGCAAGCAAGTCTTTGTGGGCATTTTCTTTTCCTGCCTTTAAAAACCGTGATTCCAAAAGGAATAAACGGTTTTTTTTTATAATAATAATAATAATAATCACAATTGGATGTGACGTGCATGGTACTAACAACAGCACTACATGTTGCAGTAGTCAAGTAACGAGGCAACAGAGACTAAATAAAATGACAAGTATAAACATAATTCAGTCGATCAGGCAGCAACGAAGTGATCAGAGCTGCACAAATCTGCGGCCAATTTTTAATGGTCCTGTATGTAGTTAAGAAAAAGGTCCACATGTTTTGTAACATAGACGGGAACTTTTCAATCATGAGAAATGGACAATGTTATTGCAAAACATACCAATGTCTTATAGCACGTTTTACTTGAAAATCACAAAATCAATGTCGGTGAAATTCATGTGTGAAACGCTTTTGCAGAGTTATCAAACTAGTTTTTTTATCTTAGCAGGTAAGCAAGCCATTGTAACAAGACATATGGGCCATAGTTTAGATACACCCAGTGTTGTGGCGCCTTCGAGCTAATTTCTTCTTAGTAGTCGGTTTGATGGCGACTAGCTATTAATGCTGACAAATAGGAGACAAACGCCAGTATCGGTAGTATGCTTTTATAGATATATAAGAACATTATTTTGTACTTAAAGATACAGAATCGTACAAGTAACTCGAGGGGATACGGACACACACACACACACTTACAAGGCTGTACTTACTGACTGCAGCGTTTTGAATCCATAGGCTTCAAAAGTATCCGCGTATTGCTTGCACATAAACGTCTCTAGCCATCTCTCCACAGGGCCGGGCATTATTTATTTTTTAAGCCAGAATACGTGGGGTGGGGAATGAACCCCCGTCTTGTTTATTGTTTTTATTTATTTATTTTTATTTTATTTTATTTTATTTTTTTTTAAGTAACAGTTAAGTTAGACCCTCTCGTTTTGTTGGCCAGTCCTTCATTTCGTGAGCTTAACATAATGGCTGCCTATCACGTGACTCTTACTCCTCCTTTCTGCGTTTCCTCCCCTTCATTCACCCCGTCTTCTCGTCCATGTCCACCCTCTATGTCTACCTACTCTTTTCCTTTTTCTCACACTTTTCCTCTTCGCACATTCCCCCCCACCTTTCTTTAACACTTACTCGCCAATAGTCCTCCTCCTCTTTCTGCTCAAGTCTTGCTAGTCTTTTTTTCTTATTCCTTTTGCTCTTCCAGCCTATCTTCGTCGTCATCGTTCTTGACTATGACCTGCTTTTCGCTCCTTGCTTAGATCTCCTTAAATTTATCAATTTGCGATTTTATTTTGAAGCTTAACTCTTGCCTTCTGAAACACCGCCTTCGAGACAGTTTTGCCAATGTCTCAAGCAGCTGTTATTGATTTCTCATCCAAGTAATTACTAGTCGCTAAAAAACATTTTTTTAACGTCGAGAGTAAAAACTAAAAATTGATACTAACAGCAAACTCCTCCCTTTGAAGCCCTGTCTATTCCTTCACTTGACTCCCGCTACTACTGTACGTCGAGAACACCAACAACCAGACACAGCTAGGTCATATGAAAAGACAACTAAACTACAAGAAGTTACTTTTTAGTTTCCTCTTTAACATTTCTACATCGTTCAACCAATGCTTTTACTTTTTATATTGATTCGAATACATTTCCTCAATTTAATGCTAAAACTACTACTACTGCTATGTGGAGAGATGTGCTCGATACTAGTCTGCATTCCCATACCGAATAATCTTCGGCAGCGTCAAAAAATGTATTAACTCATGAAAATAATTCTTGTTATGTTTCAATTTCAACAATCAATGCGCACCAGGACTTTTCATCGCTTCATTGAACTGGGGAGGAGGACAACATTCCTATATGAGTTCCTCCGCCTTTAAAAATGTAATAATCAGCAGTGTTTTAAGTTTTAATCCAATTGGATCCGTGTGTGGTATACTTTTGTTTTTATTCGGCCGTTCTTCCTTCCCTATTTTTTTTTCTTATAGAACGACGAAGCCGCATCTCAAAAGCTTATTCCAAATTAAGGATCGCTCTTTGAATGCCAATAAGGATTAAATGCGCATTACAGCTGCTTGACGAATCGAATGCCATTTATTAATGCAGAAGGAAGAATACATAATCAACTGAGAAATTGCAATTATTGAAAAGTATGCTGACTATAAAACCCAAAAAATGAACTGCAACTTTATCTTTATAAGCGAAATACAAATTTGTATGAATTTCTTATCAGCAGAAAATAAATACAAGGTCATTTTCACGCCACAGTTTTTTTTAATGGCTTAAAAAGATGTTTTTTGTTATGTTGTTGAAGACTAGCATTTTTTTTTTTTTTTAGTTTGTTACACGGAGGGTATTGAACGAGTCGTATTTAACACCAATAAAATTTTAAATTAAACAAGAAAAAGTACTCTTACTGTGATCCAGTGTTGAACTTATGACGTAATAAGGCGCCAAACTGCTGACAGTAGTGGAATGCAATAAAGCTGATTTTTTACATTCCTTTAGTACAAATGCACGAACTTTGAATAGCTTACCTCGAGCACAAGAACATTTTAAGTTGTTTTAAAGACAGTTTAAAAGAAATTGTTAGTACAATTATTGGGAGAGAAAAAAAAAAAAAAAAATCAAACTACCCCATTTTCTTTATTTCAACAACTATCAACCAAACTAATGGTTATTGTTGAATAGTTTCAACAACTGAATGAATGATGTTTAACTTGAGCACCAATGAAATAAAAGCGTGAGTTTTCATAACAGATGTCGATTAAGTTAAAAAAAATCAATTAAATCATGCCCTCCCTTCCTGTCACAAACCTTAAGAGAAAATTTATTTAATGGGTCAATTTTTTAAGTACAGTAAGGCAGTAGTAGCTGAATTGTTATGAAAATTTAATCAAAATTGTTATTAATACTTTTATTTGAAATTAATAAAAAGCAGAATACACATTAAAAAGAAAAATAAGGGCATCACGCAATAAAGTTAAAATATTGAAATTTATTCATACTGGATTCAAAATTTCACTAATGACAAACATAACAGTTCTCATTCTCAATAATTGTCTCTTTTAAAACGAAAAAGAAAATGTAAACTACGAGATATGTAGCAAAGAAATTGGCAATAAAGTATTTATTTTTTTAACTCAGTACTTCCTTGTGGCAAATTATTTTTCTCCCAAACTCCCATCTACTATGCGTTTCGATTAAAAATTAATCATTATGTCTAAATTTATTTTTAGGAGAAAATAATGCAACTAAAAAGAGAAAAGGTCTTTTTCTTTTTAATCCCGTGAATGTGGTGGAGAAGGAGCGATGTTCTTTTGTTCGATCATTATTAGCCTCCTCATCGATTTTTTTTCCAAGAGTACTGACTATTGAATGTAGATTAGAAGAATAAAGTACAGCTGAATGACATCTAACTCTTGATAATTAAAAAAATAAAAATTTGCATGTATTTGTCATTAACAAAAAAACAATAGTAACCAATTTGTTTATAACTTTATAGCTACTGATTTTTTTTTTTTTTTTTTAACATAAAAAACTGCTTCTTTTGCGTCTGCTAAAGAGAAAAATAATCATTCACTTCCGGTTAGCTTCAAGATGAGCATTTTTTTTTTTTTTTTTTTTTTGAAAAGTCCTTTATTTGTTTGAGAAAAAAAATCACATACGAAAATTTATCATTGGTAATTTTATGAGCAGAGAATTTAAGTATTAAAATTTGTCTTTGCGGCTTTTTAGCTTCAGGCGGAATTTCCATTCTGTTCGATTTTTTTTAAATAAAAAGTCGCTTTTGAAAAGAATTTACTAGGCAAACATGATTTTAACAGTTAAAATAAATGCTAATTTTAATAATTTAAGAAGTTAAAAAAAAAAAAAAAAATCTAAGTTTAGTTTTAGCAAAAAAAAAAAAAAAAAAAAAAAAATCTAATTACATTAAATTTCATTGCTAACGAAAAAAAAAAACTGTTTTAGTTTTACCGTACGTTTGTTGTTCACGTACATTTTCTTCAACAAATTAACTAAGTCGGAGAGAATTATTTCACAGTAATAAATATGGATCAATCCATTTAAAAAAATTCACATTCCATTTAAAAAAAAAAAAAGTTAAAATTTGACTACAAAGTTAAAAGTAAAACTAAAAACTATTATTCTTTTAAAAAGAAAGGAGTAGGAGAACAAAATGAAAGAAATAAATAAATGGTGGGACAAAAAAATGAAAACAATCGGAGATTTTGTTGATTACAAAAAAAAAAAATAAATTGGAATATTAAACTTAATTTGGCCACTTCTAATTCCAACAGAAACCAAAGGATTCAATAAACAACTTACTTGCACATATACGAGCAATGTAGACTTCGTATGATTCCAAGTCTTCTCACTTCAGTCAACGAACAGCAGGTGCACTGAATAAGAAAGGCGGAGAAGAAGCGTCAGCAGAACTAATTGCAAGAAAAGATCATGAAAAACATTGATAAATATGTTGCGAACGTTTTTTCCCTCTCTAAAGTCCAAGAGAAAACTAGTATTTGGATGAACAAAACGCGTTTTCAAAGCAAATGGGCCATTTGCCAGAAATTTACCGGAAATCCATATTAAAAAGGAAAAAGATAAACAAAAACACACGTGTTTATTATTTGTAATTGAGATAAAACTGTAGTTGCAGATAAATAAATAAACAAGCGTAAGTATACGCCCGTGCAGTAGTGAAGAAACCAAATTCTGGCTCAGGTTCGGTTCTAAGTTCAAGAGAAAACAATTCCATTTACCGAATAAGAATTTAATGATCTTTAGTGTTCATCGACCTATATTTCTAATAATTTTGTCAGTCGTCATCCAACCTCTTTCTTTTGTCTCTGTCACCGATAAGGACACGGAGGAAAAGGATGGATTCATCATCTGAGTCAGGTCGATAAAGTTTTCATATTTATAATTGCTCAAAATCTCTTTCTCTCTGAAATTTGCTATAGATGCACCTTTTCCGAACTGAATTTAGCACATTTTTTAAGTGTTCCGAACACACTTAGTAAATTTCGTCGTCTTTCTTTGTGTTTGACTTAAGCACGCACCTTTGTGCTTAACTCTTCACAGTACAAAACATCAGGGGGAAATAACCCAGCACATTATTATTGCTGCCAACAACACAAAGCAATTTCAAGGTAAGGCTTGGCATATTTTATTGGTTCGATTAAGAAAATTATTAAGATTTTTTTTTTTTTTTATTATAAGTATCGTCTTGAATTGCTAAGGACACAAAGAGTTTTATGGTCTCGAGGCAATAACATAATCCTTAGTACAAAATTATATTTATTTATCAATAATTCCCAATGGAAGAGGAATATAAAAAAAAAAAAAAACTGAACAGAAAATAAAGAGACAAAAAAATAAATTAAATACACCAACCAGAATATCTTACTTCCCAAGAAAAATGAATAAAATAATATCTAATACTAATCTGGACAAAAACATGTTGCCTGATAAATTAAATATAAAGTCAATATTAAAAGTTGACTCCTTAAAAAAGTCATCTGTTATATAAAAAATAAATTATCTCAGATAGTTTTCATATTGACTTTCATATTTATTTTTATAGGGCAACCTATTTTTGTCCAGAACAAAACAACTTTGTAAAATGATAGATAACATCTATATTTAAATTCAAAAACTGATCTTTGCAAAATTTGATCAGTAGACATTAAAAAATAGTTTCTTTTTTAGGTATATTATTTGTTTCCTATGAATAGTTTATACAATTCTTTTATTATCATTATTACTGAATATAATCACTGTGTGATGTTTTTTTTTT